TTAAAAATTATGTTTAATTGTGAGCTATGAACATCAATATAATTCTATATTAATTAAATGGTTTTAAATTGTCCTCCTAAATCTATCAACCTTAGCTGTGTATTAACTGAGGTTGAGGGGAGATTTTAAAAATCCTTATGTCCAGTTTGCACTTTTGATCATAATCTGTTGGGGAGAGTCTCAGGCCTCAGTGTTTTTCAAATCTCCCCAGGTGATGTAAATATGCTGAGTCCGACTGCTTTAACAGGTCACTGAAATTCCATGTATGTTAAACTTAAAGCCTGGCTTTTAACATTCTTTCTATTAGAACAGCCGAATTCTCTTCTCAGCCACTTGACATTTGGCTTTCATCACGGGAGCATCTTCCCATGGAGTAAGGATGTTCAATTTGGCAAAAGTCGAGCACAGGAAGAGGCCCAAAGGACTTTATTTATCTTTTCCCTGGGCTCACAGCAATCATTACATACGAATATGTTTATTTATCAGAATAATAAGTGAATGGTTCTGCGGCTCTGTTTTGGATTCACATGCAAGATTCTCAGCATCTTCAAAGAAGGTCCTTTCAAAGACTCTGAAACCTCAAACTTACTTTTCCTGCTCGCTACATATATAGTATATGCATTTTGTGAGGTAGAGTTTTCACTGATGAAAATCAATGAGAGAAACATACAAACAAAAACAAAACCTATTTCAAACAGGATGAAGAACTGGCGATTGAGCCCCTTCTTTAGAAAGAAAAATATGGGAATAAAACATTCTTAGCATTCTATCACCATCTTATATTTGTTGACAAAGCCAATGGTTTCATTGTTAGGCAGTGGAGAGTCTGAGCTTTCTCTCTATCCTGGGAGGACTCCCCTAATAAACAGAGTTCAGGTTGCAGTCAAGTACCAAATAAATGAAAGAACCACCTCTTAATAACTGAGGTAGATGATGCTGAACAGCCCCAGTGGACAGAGATAAGCTGAGAAGGAAAATTGGTTGATTTCAAGAAAGACATGTCATCACCCTCTGGGCTGACCCAAGTTGTTTCAGATGATGAGTGGCCATGACAGTGACAAAACTTTATTGGCCTGAAAGAAATGTGAAGAAAATAAATAAACTTTGTTTGCTTCTCTGTGGAAAACAAATGTGTGTAGTAAATTTCCTCCCTAAGACTGGGAGTCTGCTGTCAGTTTCCTGGTATATCTGTCACTAATTGAGAAGCAAAGACTACAGAAGCATTTTAAGTTGGGCCTCTAAATAATCCTAAATGGATATCCCAAAAATTTAAGACAGGAAAGGGAATATCTTTTCCTCACACTTTCGGTGTTAGTTTCTTCATAGTTCATTCATGTCTCCCTCATATCCCCCAATAATCTTTTGCTTCCATCACTCTCCTAGCATACCTGACTAACCTGGACAGGGTCCCTCTCACTCAAGAATAATCCTAGTATTAAGCTTTGTCACTTCGTTGGGAACTAAGGACATCACATCTGAACAGTTTAACTTGTTTTTATTTAAGCATTATGAAAGTCCATAGGACACTTCGGTACTAGTACCAAGTGGGTTTTGTATATGACCAGGTTGTAGCAATACATGAAATTTGCTGGCAAATAAAAATGATATATTTCCTCTGTGGGAGAGTTTAAACACAAAAAGAAGATGCTTTAATTTCATATTATCCTTGGACTTTGTTCTCCAAGGCTTTTCAATGTATTCCAAATCAGAACAGTAAAAATTTAAGTGCACTTTTTGTGTGAATGTCAATGATTCAAAATGTTTTGTGTTTGTGTTCAAGTCATTGTTCCAGCAATAGACTCAAGCACCCAAGATTCCATTTCTATATACTAAGAAAATCCAAAACTATTTTCCATATTAAAAATCTAAGAAAGAGATGGAAATATAAAATAATATGTTATTTGTTAGTAAAGTGTAAGGATTTTACGATGAAAACAGAAATCTTTTGATTCAGTCCTAATAATTGAAGTAATAAAGTATCTCAAGTATTTTAATCTAATCATCAATGTCACATTTCTCTAGACTGTTAACCAATGAGCAAAATAAATTATGGTTTGCATCATATAAAAAGAGAAAAAAGCCAATAGATTTGGGGATAGTACACTGCTGATTTAGCAACACCATAGATATACTCCTTTTTTTCTTAACTTCTCAAAAATCCCAGGAAATGGACATTGCTGTGTGTTTACAATTTGAACTCAAATGTATTAGAACAAAATGGGTTAAATGTATTTTTAAAAAATAATGTGTTTGTAGAGTTTGACACAAAGAATAATAGCTAAGGTCATACAACTCAGAAGAATCAAAAGATACTGCAGTAACACAAAATTGTCTTTTAATGTTTGTTTACCAGTTCATTGTATCTTACAGAAAATGAAAACATTATTTTTGTAATACAGATTGGTTCTTTTCCTCAGATTTGTACTCAGATGCCTTTAAATACTGATTTTCTTTTGCTCTGGCGACTTAATGACTTTTTGTGTTTTTTATTTCTTTTGTTGTACATCATTGCTGCTCTGGCAGTAGTGAGCTATGATACAGTTAACTTCTCAACAAAACTGTCAGTTATCCATTGATCATTCTTGATGCATTCTGTGCTGAAAACTAATAATAGTTCCCTTTTAATCCTCCCCTCCTATGGTCAGCTACTCCAGGAGACCACCGTATTCTTTGGAGCACTGAAATCAAGAAGCCCAGTATGGCTGCCAGCAACCAAATTGGAATCTCCTTTGAGTCTACTTTTAATTGCCAAAATAATAAGCTACTATATTATTGCATAAAATAAAACTTTAACAGGTACCGGCCCCCTTTCTATGAGAGAAAGTTTAAATTTACAAATACCATATTTGACTAAAAATTACTGTGATAAAATATGGCAGCAGTTATTAAAAGATGGCTTCCAGTGTCAATGTGATTAACTCGTTTCCATTCCCATTGTCTTTTCATGTGGATCACTCAGTGTTATTGGGTTTTAAATGTAGGTGTCTCAGTGAAACTGGCAGATAAACTTTGTTGCTTATATGGGCCATAAGTGTTAATTATGGACAAAATGATCAAAACAATATTTCCTAACCCAGAGTCCCATCTTATCTCTCTGATACTCTTGGAACCCAAGTCTGAGGAGCAATATCTAAATTAGCCAATGTTATACTGACTTTTTGTTCGGAATTGTAATAGAATGGCCTTGCTTTTTCCAACATTCTCAGTGAGATATCTTGGGCAATGAAGTAGGAAAATAGACATTTGGTTCAAAAATGGAAAATGATAACATTAAAAAAAAAACTATTCAAGTAGAAGTCCAAAAGGGTAAGGGGATCCTCATCCTATAGGGGAAGTCAGAAGATAAAAATTCTGCCCGGCAGTATTCAATTTTTAAAGACTTTTTTTTACAAGCTTGAAAAAATGGTGTGCAATCAGTATAGATTTTAAACAGCTAAAAGTCAGTCCAGAGTTTTTGATCAGCACCATTTTCTATACTAGTAAATATTCAAAAGTTAAGAAATGCTAGCTACTATGCTTAACGTTATAAAGGTAGAGTTCTGCAGCAGTAACTGAAAATTATATATCTGCTTCCATAGAAATTTGTTCCCACTTGCATTTCCAATAATTCTTGTAACGTGGGTAATAATCGTTCAAGTATGGGCTTCCTCCATACGTGAATAACATATTTTAAATAACATATTCATCTTATTCTAGACCATTCAGGTATTTTCAATTTAAAAGTTCAAGTTCTATTTGTATCAGCAGTGTTTGAGTTAAACCTCACAACCTCTTTGGATTTATATTTGTAACTTTTGTACAGTTTGCATATCCAACCTAATGTTAAAATGTGCATGCATACATTGTCATCTTCTAATATTAAAGCATCTGAAAATTGCCAGCTATGCTTTTGATAAAAGAAGTGATCTACTTTTATTTACAATATTTTGTCTAGATAACGTATGAGTATAGTTATGGCTTTATGGATTTCCAATTGTTCTATATCTTCCACACATATAACTCTACATTTAGAGAGTAAATTTATTAGAATTATTACAGAGCTTTAAATGCAACCACAATAAATTCAAGAAACAGATTTATTTACTCATGTTCATGGGAGGAAGATCTACATAAAAACATTCATGAAAGCACACCAGCTGTGTCATACTTGGTTTATGATACTAAATCCCATTTATTAGAACTCATTGTGAAACAATGGGAAACCATAAGATGGAATTTGAATACAAATATTGGTCCCTGTGGGGTCTCAACAGTCATAAAAATATAGGAAAACAGAGCTTCATTTAAGATTGGAGCTGCTAATGCGAAAGTTGTTTTTCTGAACCTGGCCTCACCCTTTCACTACAGCCCCGATGATTTTAGTGTAAACCGAGATGACAGCTTCAGTGTTTCATTTACACCTAGATGACAGGCAAGGAAAGTGACATCACTGACCACATTTTCTCACGGAAGAAGGTTTAGAACGACTTTGTTGACTTTTTCCCCCAACCACAGGCACCAGTTGGGCTTTCTAGTGTATATACAAATAAAAAAATAAAAATTTTGAAAGTTGGGTCCTTTCTCTTGGTTAGGAAAATGTGTAGTTATTCATTCTTTTTTATGATTTAAATGTTTCAATGTAATGTAAATAAGAAGGAAATATTAAATAGTTTAAAGTTATTTTTATAGGACAATAACATTTCATAGGCTAACATAAAATCAAGCTGCTAAATTTTACAATTTTTCTGTCCAGCAGTTTATCTATATAACTGCCCTGAGTAGATGCTAAATGCTGCTTAGCCACCGGCCCTTAGAATTTAAATATAGCTCAGTAAAGCTACTCAAAAGATAGACAGTTCTTCTTAGGCATGTGTAATTTTAATTAGAAGAAGGTAGGAGTCTCTCATTGGTTAAATATTATCTGCTTATTTAAATTTTATACTTCATATAAATGGGGTTATTAAGGAGTTTTAACTGTGCTTTTTACTATGCATTGGAGTCCATATGAATTTTTTATTTTTGGTCAAAAAGGCAGGATTTTAAAGAGTAAAATATTCTATTAGAGACTTGAAATATTAACTTTTAGAAAAGTGTAGATTATTCCCTTGTGAGATTGAGTTTTGTGCAACCTCTCAGAATCTCAGTTTATGTAAAGAAGCCTGTATTTCAAATCAGTTGCTCTAATTTGTTTATTGTAATGCATTTCAAAATTGTACAAATGTGTAAAATTTGTGCTTGTGGAAGCTGCTGCTCCGAGTAGCTTTACTTTCCTTAATTTAATCCTAGCAATCCTCAAGTTATTGCATGCCCCGTTCATGAAAAGATACTTTGTGGGGATGATACAGCCTGAACAGTTTGGCTCTCAAACCTCCTTATGTAGGGCCTCCCTTAAAATTATATTAATTTATAATATATATTGAATGATAGCTTTACAAAAACAAATTAATGAATTGATCTTTATGAAAATGACTCTTTACAGTAAGTAAAAAAGGATTATCACAGTTTTGGTAACTTGCATGAGTTCATATTGAAAAAAAAAACACAAAAAAACCTTTCACATGTTCTTAATGACTTTAGACTTGACGTGCTCTAGGGGCACGCTCAATTGTATGCTCTGAAACAGTAGACACCGTACAGCTTATGCTTTTTATCTGGGAAACCCACGAAGCGCACTGCAGCCTCGGTAGGACTGCAGCGCCTCCTTGGCCTGGAGATGGGGTAGCGCACGCTGCCGTCCTCCAACCAGCCCGCGTCGCAGCGGTCGTATCCCAGAAGTCTCCAGGCTGCGAATATCTGGCCCACTTTCGCAATCCGAGCACCATCGTTGAGACAAGCTTGCACCGCTTCGTCATAGGTCAGCTTGGTGGGGTGGATCAGGTAGTAAAAACGGCCTGTGGAGAGAAGGGGACAGGTCAGTGGGCCTGTCGTGAGCCAGGCAGAGTTGGAAGGAGCCCGAAAGGGGGTGTGTTTCAGGGCAGCACAGAGCAGTATCTGTGAAGTTTGGGGAACATAGGATCCTCTATCGAATGTAGTGCCCCGAAGTCGCTCTCCCTTAAATTAGTTGATTTTCTTGCCCCATAGAACATGTTCAGACCTTTCATAGTTTTAAAAAAGAAAAGGGAAATGACAGATGCAGTTTCTGTTCGCTAATTAGTGACTAAAAGGGCCTTCTGTGGCTCTAGAGAAGACAGAAGTCCATGTTAAAAGCAAGAGCTATTTAAATTCTAGCTGTGGCGAGGCTGAACCCCAGTACAAGTTTCTAGAGGGGCAAAATTTGAATGTGAAAGGATCAAACACATTCCTGACATAAAAGTCCATTTAAAAAAAAAAATCAAAAGCCCTTAAGTCCTTTTCATTACAGGTATCAATAAGACATTATTTTTATTCAAAGACTACAGTATGAAAATGCAAAAAAAAAAAAAAAAATACAGGAAGTCTCTTGCCATAAATAATACTGGCTCAGAATGGACCTGGTCTGTTCACTCACTAGCAAAAGGATGCATTTATTTATTTTTTCTACTTTATTCTGTGGGAGTCTGATACCTACCTAGCCGTTTTTTTGTTTTTTTTTTTAATTTCACAAGAAAGAGCAAACTAGTCTTACTCGCTTATTGAATAGTGAGATTCTTTCAATATGTTTTCAATATCCATAAAATGTTTAAAATAAGACATCAACTGACTGAAATGACACACACCGAATGAAGATTTTCTCAGACTTCGTTTCAGGTAGAAGATATTCTCTCTCTTCCCTGATTATAACTGTAATGATATATCTCCCTGCCCCTCATTAAATATAGATTATTGAAGTGTGAATAATGCTTGCCAGTTCTTACTAGATAAGATGATGTGATTTGGAGCAGGAGTAAAGGCCATTGGAACATTAGCTAGAGGGTTAGTTCTGTCATCTACACCAGAGGTAGGCAAACTACACGAGTCAAATGAGGCTTCATTAGAACATAATCATAACCACACCCATCCATTTAATATTGTCTATGGCTGCTTATGTGTTACCATGTACAAAGCTACATTGATTGAATAGTTGTGAAAGGCAAAAAATATTTACTATCTGGCCCTTTACAGAAAGTTTGTGGATCCCTGATCTCTTGCTATTTTTCCCGAAGCATGTCTGCAGGGAACTAAAATACAAATGATGGAGTCAGGGTTTGCTTCATGGGTATGTGACCCGTGTAGATACCAATGGCCTTGTGATTGGTTTAATTCCTTGCTGTCACCATCTTAATATTTTCGACAATTTTTTTTTTTTTTTTTTTTTATCCTCACCCGAGGATATTTTTCCATTTTTTGTACAGATAGAGTGGGAGGGAGAGAGAGGAAGGGAGAGAGAGACAGAAACATTGATGTGAAGGGACACATCGAGTGGCTGCCACCCGCATGACCAACCAGGGCCGGGGACAAACTGCAACCGAAGTACATGCCCTTAGCGGGAACCGAACCCGGGTCTCTCCGGACCACAGGCCGACGCTCTAACCGCTGAGCCAAACCGGCCAGGGCTATTTTCGACAATTTTTGAACAAGGAACGAACATTTTCATTTTGCACGGGGCCACACAATATGTAGGTGGGTCTAGACAGAGCAAGGTAAGGCTGGGAGTTATCTTGAACGCGAAGAACCAGTCATCAACACCGAGGCAACAGGGACCTCTTTTCTTCTACTTTCACCTGCAATGTTATTTCTACTTATTTTTCTTGCAAAACTCTCTTTTCTTTCCCTACAATTTTAAAACATGTTTTTACTGATTTTTTTTAGAGATAGAGGAAGAGAGAGAGAGAAACATCGATGTGAGAGAGACATAGATTGGCTACCTCCTGCACGCCCCCTACTGGGGATCGAGCCCACAACCCGGGCATGTTCCCTCTCAGTCCACGGGACTACGCTAATCCACTGAGCCACACCAGCCGGGCCAAAGCTGTCTTCATCCTGAGCTTTGTTGATCATTTATGAAAATGCTGACATTATAGTTTAGTGAAGGAGAATATGACAATTGGGAGAGCTGCATCCTAGGGAGGGCACACAATGGCAGCATAGTTTGTCAGTAAGAAACAGACTCCAGACAAAATCGCAGCTTAAACTAGTTCATAATAACAATCAGATGCACTAAAACCTAGGGATAGTGGAAATACACACTCTTGCTTAACTTCTTTGAATTCTCTTAAAATTAAGACATCAAATAAATTTTTACATCTTTTCAAACAGGGGTAACACTTCAGTGCTTTTATCTTTTATAGTAGATAAGATTGAAAGTCAAGTGTAGTGTCCTAGTACACATCGGTGTATGGTATTACGGTTAATATCTTACCATTGAAGTTGGATGTAAAACAGAACACATCATATCTGCTTTTATCTTTATCCCAAAACCCGTAGTTCCTGACCCCGGGCACAGTGTTCTGGCCTCCGCAGGGCTCCCGCGGCTTGGTGATGGGGTACTGCACCGAGCCGTCGCTGAGCCAGCCGGCGTTGCACCAGTCCAGCCCGCCCCGCCACGCGTCGTACAGCTGGTCGAAGGAGGCAATCACGGCGTCCTGGTCCAGACAGGCCTGCTGTGCCTCGTGAAAGTTGAGGTTATAGCGCCCCAGTCGTGGAAAATAAGGGAATACCACACCTGTCCAAAGAAGAAAGCACAGGATTATTAGTGGCACGAAAAGTAACAGGTAGAAAAGCAAATCCCACTTCACTGGCGAAAAGTGTGATAGAATCGCCATCAGACGAAGTAGTGCTTTTTGGACATCTTGCGGTGGTTTCTCGTGGTCCCTCCCCCCTTCAAAGAGCCTCTCAGCTCTGAGCATGTCACAGTGTGCTTTTGGTTTGATAACTTCAGTGATTTACCCCTTTTGCTACGAGGTCAACTCAAGCCTTGAAATTCTCCTTTCTGAAATGATTCACCTGCAGATAATATTTTCCAAGTAGCCCTCCTTGAGAATTTACCATCTGCTACTGATTACTAACCCTAAAAATGTATTCCTGAGCCCCCTTTGCCTGGGAAAAAGTCATTATTGAATACTAAGCATGCTAGGGAATGTAGAAATAGTGCTGAGAAGGAAAGTATTTATCAAAATTCATAATGTTTTTTCTTAGTAATATTCTGATATAATGAGTCATTCATTTTATGTGTTTTAAATATATACACAAACATGTTAAGTTATTCAAATGCAGTTTTGTACTTCCTTTAACATGTGCTCCTAAAAATTTGCAGATAAGTAACTTTTATTTAGAAGTTTTCTGATTTGGAGAAACCTGAAAGTGAAATTCTTTGCATATCTAACAAAAACCTAATTGAACAGTCTGTCTTCATCGTAATAAAGCAATTCTTGACTGTGAGGAACACCTCCATAAAAAGCATCATGGCTCTCTTATTTGTTTCAATTTTTACTATAGCCTTTACTCTTTTATTTTCTTGTCATTAAACAAAGACAACTTAAGAGCTTTATTTCAAAATATTTCCATTACTATTTCTCAGTTTCCATATTCATATACTGCACACCAAAACATTTTAATTACAAATAGAAACAAAAACCTTCCCAACACTTGTCCTATACAAGGTAGGTACAGAATAGACATCTGTTGACTAGGTTAATGCCAAAGAATTAAATTAAATATTTTAAAGGCCAAAACCCTTAGCAAATGTGAATAGTGTGAAATGGCACTTGGCTTTGCCTGGGAAGAAACAATGATTTTCCAAAAGCGTTCTTTTTGGTCAAATAACCATGAGAGGTGATTGAGCTGTCTTACAACTTTCTTCACAATTTCTTTAAAGGACAAGGATTACATAAGAAAGCAAAGTTGTGCCATTTGCTGGACTTTAAGAAGGACCACTGTATCAAAATGTCTCCCCCCTAGTTGCTAAAAGGTAATTAATTTTTAGTGTGATTATTCAAATCCCTGGGTTGGATTTTAAAAAATGTAATTAGAAATAATTAATATTTTAGCTGGTGGGATATAAAAAACTGTCCCACTGACAGTACTTTGGTGAATTATATCACATGAGCTATTTTTCTGAGACTGTAGACCCTACTGAAGATGAATGTACAATTCACTCATAGTGTACCCAAGTACACAGGAAATGTTTTCTTTTATAAGCTGTCCTGGAAGACTCTACAAGAAGAAATTTTAGTAGCCAAGATCAAGTTGCGTCCACCGAAGGCCTCGGTAGGACACATTTGTCCCTCCAGGGCAGGCCAGCTGGCACTGTCCACTGCAGGCAGAGATCCAGGAAGGCTTCCCGATCTCATCCTGCCTTCTCAGGTTCTTGGCCGAGGGATCTGTAAACTGAATCAGAGCCAACACGAAGGAGGAAAAGACTCTCTGGGTTGCCACTGCCCCCTGCAGTGATGATGGAAGGGAAGCCCGGAGATGGCTCGAAGAAGAGCTGTGCCCAGGCACCTCGCTAAGAACCCAGTTAGCGCGGGAAGGAACTGCTGCAGTGCCCCCTGTGCCCTGCACCGTTCAGACTCTCTCCTCAGCAACTGCAGGAATGCTGCTATTAAAATTTTACTTAATTTATCCAGTAGAGATTTCTTTGGCAGCTGGATATTAAGTGAGAGAAAATCTTACAGTATCTCAATGTGGAGAGAGAAAGAAATCATATAGGTTGAATTCCATTTTCCAGATGGCTTAAGATGGTGACAGTGAAGAATGTAGAGTGTTTCCGTTTAAAGTGGTTTTAAAAACCAAGACAATCTTTTGGGTTTAAATTCACTGCAGTATATTTAGTGGACTTTTATGGACATTAGAAAAATTTTTTCTTTAGTAATTTGTCCTTGATTAATCATTGAATGTTCCTGAAATATGACTGATTCAGTTCCAAATACACTGTAATATATTTTTGAGTTCCTTTCAAATTTAACACAAATTCAAACAACTGTTTCTTAAAGTCAAAATGAAACCCTATATTAAAATTTTACTATTTTTCAATTGCAAGAATAAATGATCAACTTATGGTTTTATTAACTTAAAAGGGAAGGTGGGGAGAGACACATCAATGTCAGAGAGACACTGCCCTGACCGGGGCCAAGGATCAGCAGGTACGTGCCCTTGACTGAGAATCAAACCTGAGACGCTTTGGGGCTCGGACCAGTGCTCTAACAATTTAGCCATGCTGGCCAAGGTGATTTACATGCATTTTAATTAGTGTTTGATGATACTGGAAAGAAAACATTTCAAATACATCTAGATTAATTTCTATGTTTTACTCAGGCAAAATGGTAAAAGAGTCACTATTGTGCACATTTAGTACAGATATTTCAACACTCAGATGTTTCTTACGAGCAGAGGCATTTCTGGAAGTATGTGGTTGTTATCATTTATTTACTTGTTTTACTTCCAGCTTGCTAAGATTTCAACATCTAAGACTATGATTGCAGAAACCTTCTTGCTTCTGTGGGGAAATGTGCAATTCCTACAGCTGGAGTACATGGTGATTGCTTTTACTCGGCACTTACAAAAGGAAGAAAAGTTAAACTTTTACAATCATCACATGGAGATGAATAATATCAAATGTGTGAGTAGTTTTGTCAGTCCAGATATATTTTAAAAAACGCACTCTTTAAGATTTATAATTGCCCAGTCCAAGTCATCCTAGTTGTTGGCAAATATCAATTTGTTTGACATGTGAAAGGTTTTCATACCATGGCACATATAGAAACTAAAGTAAATTTCAATATCTCTATAAAGTAAATACATTAATTAATTAATTTATTTTTTATCCTCACCCGAGGATATTTTTCATGTATCTTCAGATAGAGCGGGAGGGAGAGAGGAAGGAAGAGAGAGAGAGAAACATCGATGTGAGAGAGACACATCGAGTGGTTGCCATTTACACTATGCCAACCAGGGCCAGGAATAAACCAAAACCAAGGTATGTGCCCTTAGCAGAACCGAACCCGGGACTTTCCAGTCCGCCGGCCAACGCTCTAACCACTGAGCCAAACCGGCCAGGGCAAAGTAAATACGTTTAGTAAGAAAAAGGCAGAGGCCATGCAGCATAGTTTTACCCCTATTTCTCTCATAGTGTCTAGCAGTGCTCTGAAATTATTTTTTATTTCTGAAAGTCCTCAGACTGTATTTTTGTGTATTTGGCCTCAATTTTACCAATGTTCATGGATATTCATTTGAATTCATAAAAACTGAAAGAACAAGGTGACATGCAATTAGGAGCCAAGAGCTACAGATAAGAGAGAAGAGAAGACCATAAAAATTCACTTTACATCATGTCATTTATTAGATCCATAAAGCTAATAATTGTCCACATGCGTGATGGGGTGCTATGGGACTCAGAGGGCAAATCTTCAGTGATGTGCTAGTGGACCAAACGCATACTTTTCCAAAGGCACAAATCCACTCTAAGATGTGAAAGGAGCTTCTAGCAAACAAACTTATAGTTTATATGCCTAAGAAAGGAAAGTATTCTATCAGTGCAGCCAAAATTCATCGACTGGATTGTTTGCCTCCTACACATACCTGACTGGGCCTGGGGATCAAACCTGCAACATAGGTAGGTGCCCTTGACCGAGAATCGAACCCACTACCTTTAGGTTTGTGGGCCATTGCTCTAACCACTGTACCACACCGACTAGGGCAAGAAGTTTTGAGATATATGAGAAACCACGGAGAAGGGTTTCTTTAATGTCAGGGCATTTAGAGGGTGGGCTTTGGGCAGAGGGGGCACAGGATGACAAGGACACTCTTTATTATCTAGCTTTTTATACATTTTGGTATTACATATACAAGAGAGAAAATTTCCCCCAGATGTCTTGACCATTTGGTATTCAATGTTTAAGAGACTTTTGACCATTAAAAAAATTACTTCTTCACAAGAATAGTTAAATAAATCTGGAGGTTATTTTTTTTTTGTTAAATTAAGTGTTCAGTTACTTTACAGAATATAAACCTGCCACTATTTCAAAACTGAGGTAATTTTAGAAGTATAACAAAAAAGCAGCAGATCTGAAATTTCTTAATAATTTTGTGATGAGCTTTAAATTCTGAATAGCACAAGGCAGTTTCTGAATATTATTAATTCAGTTCCACTGCAAATTTCTCCTACTTGCCAATAGCTTTAGTTTTGCATATAACCGCTGTGTGTACATTTCAAATATGAAAGCTAGAATCATAGACTACAAAATACAAAAGAATAGGAAAACATTCTGTGAATGGACTTCTGGTTTTGCACTCATCACTATGGCAACCACTAGACCTTACTCATTATGAAAACATAAAGAGCAATGGTTAATTATATTTTCTAAGTTTACATGGTTTACAGATACTTACCTTGTAAATCTAATGCTACCACAGCAGTATCATCTTCTAATCCTTCAATCACCTCGCACTTATATTTCCCATAATCCTCCAGGGTGAGGTCTGTGATCACCAGAGAAGCATCATTATCACTGCCTCCCTTCAGAAACACTCTACCCTGGTAGCCTCCATAGGCTTTCTTGTGGTATCCCATGGAAACAAACACGTCCACTTCCTTGAGGTAATCTGAAGTTAGCTTGGTCCACTTAATTCGGATTTTGTGGGTTCCTGAGCCAAACGCTGTAGGGTCTCGATAAAATTTACATGGCAGTGTAACATTGCCACCTCTATGTGAGAACACCTTGGCTTGTTCTGCTTCCACAAGTAGATGGGGGCCATTTTCTGCTGTAATTAAAAAAGAAAGAAAGAAAGGAAAGAACAATTAATGTGCTTTTAGACACTTTTATGAAATAAAATATGCTACCTTTACAGGGTATCTGATGAACAGTAGCATTGGGTAATAAGCTTCTCTCTGCATTGTTGGACAGTAGTCTCCTGAACCACATAGAAAGGTACCTCTAATACTTAGAGGGCATCTGTAAGGTAGCCATGTCTTTTAAACCATTGAAAATTGGAAGCATGTGCATTATACTCATTAAGAAACATTAGATATAAAACTCTATCATCATATGAAGTTTGATAATTTCATAATAAATTTTATTTTTTTACATTTAAATAGAAGAAATAAATACCACATGATCTCACTTATTTGTGGAATATAATAAACACAAAAAGCTAATGAACAAAACAGACCCAGAGACAGAGAAAGGAGCATGGTTCAGACTGACAAACCTCAGAGGATGGGGGTGAGGGGGGGGATGAGATAAACCAAAGAATTTATATGCCTGTATGCATAATCAAGGGACATAGACAACAATGCCTGGGGCAGGGGAGGGGGGTGGGGTAGGGAGGAGGGTGCTTGCGTGGGGGGGGAGGGGAGAAACATCTGTAACAAAAATAAATTAATTAATTTTTTAAAATGTAGAAACAAGATGAAAAATGACTAAGTACAATGACTATTTTATCAATACAAAACAAAAAATTTGTAGGCAAACTTTTTCTAGGTAAGCTTTCTAATACAATAAATCTATTTTGTATGTATAAAAACAATATGATTAACTTTTATTATACTTCTGGCCAAAGAACTTGGAATAGCCTCACATTTATGGTCTCTATTCAAATATACACTTGTGATTAAAATGCCATTCTGGAGCATGTTGAGCAATATGTGTATATTTTATTTTCACAAAAAGCTAGACATCACAAAGGTATTTTTAGCAAATATTTTATAAAACCTCCAGATTTTGAAATATATTCCTCAAAACTTGAATGTTAGAAGTGTATCCCAAGTTATACTTATTTTCTGATTAACCAAATAATTATTTCTTTATTCCCTTAAATCTCCTTCTACTCCCTCTCTCTTTGTTTTCTGCCATTTCTTATTAACGGTTATCTTATCGCGTCCACCTTTCCTTCCCTTGCCCTTTTGTTCCTCTCTCCCTCCTCCAAGGCCTTGGTAGCCTTCCAGAGAGAACCGCAGCGCTCCACGCTTGCCAAGTCAGCAGGGCTGCGGTTCTCCAGAGAGCCGGCTGTGATGTTCAGATCTTGGCTTCTCTGGGGTTTCCTCTGGTTAGCTCATTGTGCCTCTTGACCTTGACGAGGTCCCTTGAGGATGTGCAAGATTTGAAAATGAGAAAGTGATATAAGAACTCCTGGACACACACAGCTTCTCATCTATACACAGCTTTCAAAGGCTGCCCAGACTGCCTTTCATGTAGCCCTTCCTGCCTCAGGCAGGTAGGTACTGAGTACATTTTCGCTATGAATCATTTAAGACACACAAGACACCATGAAGAGTAGCCACTCACCTCCAGACAGATCTCAAAACTCAGTTATTGAATGGCACACACAGGATTCAGATTTCAAAATAAAAACTGTACGAAAATAGATACAGTGGTTCTATTTGTATCATATAGCAATCTGAATTATGTAATATTGAAAAATAAACATAATTTCATAACTAAGTCTGCCCCAATCCTTAGTAACTGAAAAAGTTTAACAAAGACATCACTTTGAATAGATTTAAAAAATAAAGAGAGAAGATAATGGCTTAATTAAAATGAATGCAGCTCATTAAGCATTTCTTTTAGATTCTATTTTTTTATCTTCTTATTTAGGACCACTGAACTATAAGATAAAAAGTTAATCTATCCAACTCTACCCTACATATAATTTTTCCACTATGATATTCCCAATGCCTGCATCCAAGTTCCACCTAAATATCTCTAGTGTCTTCTTTCTGGGAGGAGAAAAAGGAACTGTTGACTAAGTTTGTTCAGTTATGTCTGAGGGCCACAGGAGATATCTCCTACCCAGACCCTTGGGAGGACACCTGGGAGCGGGGTCTTCTGCTGGGATTTGAGTGTAGACATGACACACAGTTACAAGAGGTTGCAGTTTCATGATTTGTTTAAGCTTTTAAAAGTCAAAACTGATGCCCAGCCCTGGCCTGTTTGGCTCAGTGGTTGGAGCATTGGCCTGTGGACCGGAGAGTCCTGGGTTTGGTTCCCGTTAGGGTCATGTACCAAAAACAAAAAACAAAACTGATGCCCAAATGTATTGGGATAGAGGTATGACAGTAAGAAGGACCAAGAACTTTAATGTGATTAGAGACCTTGTTCTAACTTCATCTTCCTAATTTACTGGTTCGGTAGCCTGGAGCAGGTTGTGCCACCTCTAAACCCCACTTTTGTTATATGTGAGTTAGGGGTAGTGATATCTGCTATATACAGTTGACCCAATAGAAACATAAAGCTCTTAAGATATCGGCTGAGCCAAATTAAGTGTCCACTCACCACTCTGCTCCTGCTCAGAGATTTTCCACAGTATTTCTCAAATATGATGCTGCCTGATAATGAGCCTACTTTTGACATATAATAGCCTTCCATATTTTCACTTACTTAAAAGTTTTGATCCATGTGGAGTAAAAACTACACAAAATGCCACCTGTGTTTTACAGGAAACTTGGAAATTATTGTGTGGTTTAGCATAATCATAAGGTGTTCCAGAATGAATACAAGATCTGAATGTTTTATAAATTAAAGAGTTAAAGCAAAGATCAAAACTCTTGTGCAAAGGACCGAGACTTCTAATTTTTTTCTGTGGTTAACTGTAAATCATCTTGTAGTATTTTACAAATATAAGCTTCTGATTTTTCTAGGTACTATTTACTTTTACTCCATCATTGTGAGTAGATGATGACTTTGTGGTATAATATTGAGAACTGAGCAGATACCAAAAATCCACAGGCTTCCCACAAAACAGTGTTTCTAACAAGCCTACCAGAATGTATAAATTTCTACCATTTTTATTTTTATGTTTTGGGGGGGCTAGGTGTTGAGATAAATAGATGCCAGAAGTCCCTGAATGATATTCCAAGAACCCAAAGAAAGAGGTGGAACATGTGACACATTGAATGACCAAGAGCCATTAATGTTCATTAACCTAAACCCCTGGCATGTCCTGTTGAGAACATCGTATTCTGTTGGTTTGCTTGTGTTTAGAAGATCTACAGTGCAGAAAATAGCGCATTGGACATTGATGGGGGTGGCCTGTGGGAGAACAGGTAAGATTTAGGCATGAGCGCTGGCCTATGAGTTAGCGGCTCTGGGTTCCATTGTAGGCTCTACCAGGACTTAGCTATCTGAGTGACAGATCTATGTCATGAGAACATCAAGTCGAAGATTCTTATCAGGCTCGCTATGGCAGGTTGTTGTGACAGCGATCAACCGGAAACACACTGCGCTGGAGAGGAGGAGGGGACACGCAGAGAGCACGGAAGGAACCCAGTGCTGATGCGGGCTCTGCGTGGTGCTCCCTGGAGGACATCTTGAATCTGATCAGTGGATGCAGAAACCTGGATCGGTTTGAAATTTATGTTTAAATCAAAACTGCCTGATCGACATGCAGCTGCAAAACAAATATAATGCAAAAGATAAAAATAAACCTTGATCATCAGCATGAGTACTGCTTGTTTTCCTTTAAAAAAATAAATAAATAAATAAAACTAGGCAGCATACCTATGCTCATTTGGGGAAGGGGTTGAATTTTTCCTAAGTTCAGTTTGTAAGTTACAGAAATGTTCATGTTTCTATTAGTGAGTTTCAATGACAGTGACTTGAAAGATTTGATGCCCTTCGATAACCACAGTTGTCTCCAGGGGAAACAGCAGGGCTCCGTTATTATTTGACAAATTCTGCTGTGAAATCTAGAGGATGTCGTTCAATTTGACCAAATTCTTAACAGCATTGGCAAGACCGAAGAACTGATCTCCGTATTGCCATACAACTTAGGTGAAGCCTTTTAAACAACAGAACAGAAACAGTTGCAGAAAAATAATTTAGAAATATGGTATTTAACTATTTCCTATTGTTCTTAGTTCTATCAGAAATGCAATCTTTTTTGTTTTCCCCTTTTTCTGGCTGTTCCTTGCAAAAAATACAAAGATAACAGAAAAGAGGAGAAGGTGCTACAGATCAAAGTTTTTGTTTTTCCAAAATAAATTATGGATTGTGCAAATAACCAGTCTTTGTTTTTATTTTTTTTTATTTATTTTTTTTATCCTCACCCGAGGATATTTTTCCATTTTTTGTTCAGGTAGAGTGGGAGGGAGAGAGAGGAACAGAGAGAGAGAGAAATATCGACGTGAAAGGAACACATCGAGTGGCTGCCACCCGCACAACCGACCAGGGCCGGGGACAAACTGCAATCGAGGTACGCGCCCTTAGCGGGAACCGAACCCCGGTCTCTCAGGACCACAGGCTGACGCTCTAACCACTGAACCAAACCGGCTAGGGCATAACCAGTCTTTGTTGGTTGCTTTCTCACTAGTGTATAGGTGAAGTAGCCAATAGACTTTTGGACTCCCTAGACCACTAAATGTAACAAAAAAAAACCCCAAAATTTGGGGAATATAATATGGCTAAATAAGGTACTAAACTGAGACATCAGAAATACTCCTCTCTGCCACCATCATTTAAATTTTTTATTGTGGTAAAATAGTAGAATTATGTAACATACATTTGCCATTTTAACTATTTCTCAGTGTACAATTCAATGGCATTAATTACTTCCACCATATTATGCAACCACTTTCACTACCTATTTCCAAAACTTCTTATCACATCAAACAGAAAGCTAATTCTTCCCTGACACTCCAAACTGGGAGGCAGAGACTCAACTGTCAGCTCCATGATGAGTCATTTGAAAAAATTGCACAGGTTTTAAAAATAGTTCCTCATTTTTGTGACATCTGTTATCACTGTGGTGGGTTTGGATGTGTAAGA